AAACCAAATTATGGCCATTTTGAAATTTTATGATAAACTTGAAATTTAAGGCCGCATAAAGCGCTTCTGTGACTATTGGGCAAAGCTATTTTACACCGGCATTCTTCGGGTTCAAAATTTTCTTTGAACTATTTGTACGTTCGAAGCTTATTGTCACTTCTAACCGATAACGATTTATCAAGATGTATTTTGATGACGAGATAAGATAAAACCATCAGTCAGTTGGGTTGTGTAGATGCACATGTACATGTAATGGGGTGATCATTTCACAGGACATGGGAAAAAGGGAGGGGGGGGGGATGGACGGATTAGTTAGCGTTATAATAACTGAAAGTTGCAAAAAATATAACGATAAAAGCTATGTATCCTGCAGGTGTAAATGCCGGATTTTTGTTTGTTTGTTTAAATTAACGACAATTCAGGACTAATGTCCGTCAAAGAGTCTTTTCCATTATCAATTATCACCCTTTCTTTTTAGATCTTCAATTCCCACAAAAGTAGTTATATAATCATCCTGACTGGGGTCAAGCACATGTATAAAGAATGCGGTAGGGTTAAACATGTTTGCATCTAACCATATTTGTAATTATTTACATAAGTGAAGCTATAGATCTGCTAACAGTCCTGGAGCACTAAGGATCTAGACTTGCTACATGTCCCCCTTCCTTATTTTTTTTAAATTTTGCCCCTTTAACAATTTTACTGCTAAAACTAAGAGATTACCATTATACTGACATCTGCAGCCTTTCTCCAAGGGCAATCAGCATACTGTTTTCAGTATACATATAAATTAGTAAGAAAGAAATAAAAGAAAGGGAATTGTAGCAAGTCTACCAAGGATCATGCATTTTTAAATTTTTTTTGGTAGGGTTCGTGTTGCCCAATCTTAAGTTTTCTATGTAGTGTTTTGTAAACTTGATTGATTATTCACGGTTTTTCGTTTTTTTTGTCACGGTATTTTGTAAGTTTCTCTTCGACTTGTGAGTTTTGAATTAATGTCCCCTTGGTATCTTTCGCCTCTTTTTACCAATTTAGGGTATGCTTCAAACTCGCATACCATGCAGCTAGTATCGCAAACCAAATATATAGCAATCTTGTCAAACAACACAAACATTGAAAAATTAAGAAGAACACACTAGCAGAAAGCAAGAGCAACATAAACCCCTTTAAAAAAAACTAGGAGTGATCGCAGGTGCTCCAGAAAGATAAGCAGATCCTGCTTCGGCGAATCGCATGTGACACCTGTCATGTTACTAATGTAAGTACACATTCGTATAAGTCTAAGTCGTCGATGTCACATTCGAGGAAAATAGAACGGGGTCGTAGTTACGACAATTGGAACATATCAGTCATAAAGGTCAACCAACTCGTGATGGCGTCTGTAAAAGTTGCGGAGGGATGACTTCAACTTCATCCACTTGCACCGGAACTTGCTTGGTTCAATAGATTCCTTGTAAACAGCAATCATATATCAAGGAAATCATGATATGCAAGCTATGGAATATCGGATCAACTTGGAGATATATACACTACATATACATGGGATCACCTACCGAATAACACTTATCAACGGGTTTGTACTTACATGAACAACTCGACTGGTGCCACACGTAGAGAAGGATCTGTTTCTGTGTTGTGTTCTTTTTCGCTTTTTTTTTTGCCATGGCGTTGTCAGTTTTTTTTCGACTGATGAGTTTGAATGTCCTTTGGTATTTTTCGCCTTTCATTTACACTGTTGATAGAGGAAAGAGAAATGGATTGAATGTACTATAAAAGATATTTTGACTTTAAAGTATTCATATAGCTGATTCACATCGCCCCTCGAGTAGATACTTTTACAATAACTCTGACGTCCGGCTTTGATTGCTGATAAAATTGAAGTTAATTAGGTATCTGACCCATGATAAAGAATTCCGGAAATATTAGTTTCGTTGAGTAACGAGTATAATTATATAGAAATTAAATCTTATAACTACCATAGTATTTAGTTGTTAACTAAGTATTCACCCTGGATATTTAGTAATCAATGTAACAGGGACACTTGATGTAATGCTGCACATAAAGTAATTTGTTCAGCAGCAATGAGTGCAGCATAGGAAGTATATGAATGTTAACCAAAAAATAAAAAGGTTTCGTACGTGGAGCACTTGTATAACCCAGCAATATTCCGCTGTTTGAAAGAACGCATTTGAATTGCAAGCATACAATAATTTTAAAGTTTACTTTGGCTGAAATTTCAAAGCAACGTGAAGTATGGTTATTCAGGATTTCCTCTTTGGTAAGAGTCCTGTTTATTTTCAAGTTAATTATCAATACCTAATTCCTTTATCGAGCAGTTTTTTTTTCACAGTGTCATGGAGGTAAGACAGGTGCTTAGCGACATTTTGGTCTTAAAAGATCGATGTACAAAAATGTACCCATGCATTCATTATCTTAATTCCAATTTGTATCGACGACCCTAAAGCCTTAATCTATAGGACAGAGAATCATCATCTTCTTGATCGTGTACATACATTTGTATTTAGCCCATTGGCTTGCATAACCCTTGACTGAATCCATCAGTATGAAAAGCTGTGTTTCCAATTGGTGTATTTAACACACATCATTTCGGGCCTCTAGAAAACACATTTCGCAGAGAAGTGCAAGAGAACATGCACACCATGCAATCATTCCATACATCAAATAAAGTAACTTAGTTGACATATTGCTGATCGTATCTGAGAAACAGACAAAACCATATGGAAACTTAATATTGATAACGAGGTCAAATGGGTCAGATGAACCCTGCCAGACATACATGTACAACTTATAAAGTCGACATATTGCTTATAGCATGTATAGCATCATCGTCAACACCAACACAGAACACTATGATTTCTCAATTTTTGCTAATAAATCCTTTCATTTTTCTTCTTATTATTCAGTTTGTATAATATCATTATACCCGGTATGTAGCATCATATTGTATCGAATAATTAAGAAGACTTCATAAGTATGATTTACTAGTATCTCGTCTCTTTTGCTTATAATTAGCAATTACAATGGGACAAAACCATGACAGCTAAACATCTGAACATTGACCAATGAACCATGAATATGAGGTTAAGGTCATATGATATCTGCCAGACATATAATTACACCTTACAATATAGTTACCCTATTACTTATAGTATCTGAGAAATAGATAAAAATGCAAAAAACTCAACATTGTCCCAATGAACCATGAAAGAAGTCAACGTGGTCAAGGTCAGATGAAACCTGCCAGACGGACTTGTTCAACTTACAATCATTCCATGCACCAGATACAGCTGATCTATTGCACATGGCTGGGGCATATAGAAAGTTATACTCACGAATCATAGATTATAGCATTTGCATGTATATATAGTATCCAGGAAACAGACCAAATCACAAAGATAAAAAAATTGACCAATGAACCATGAAATTGAGATTACGGTCAGATATAACATGCAGTCAGACATGACATACACCTTAATTACAATCATTCCATACACCAAATATAGTTGACCTACTCAGATACAGTTTTTGGTGGGGTTCTTGTTGCTCAGTCTTTAGTTTTCTATGTTGTGTTTTGTGTACTCTTGTTTGTCTGTTGGTCTTTTTCTTCTTCAGCCATGGCGTTGTCAGTTTATTTTTAGACTTAGGAGTTTGAATGTCCATTTGGTATCTTTAGCCTCTCTCTTATACTGCAAATAGTCCTGAGACCCAGACTTAACCACGAAAACTTAACCTTGATCATAATTTACATAATACATGTAATATATATATATATGCAGTCAGCAGGGTTTAAGAACATTTGTTGTTCGACCTGTTAGTCAAATGCGGTTTGTTAAAATATACTTTTTCACTCTTTTGGTCTTTTGGAAAATGTTGTTTGTGCTGTATTTAGACCCCTCTAACAAGAAATTTGTTTTACATGCACACGTATAAAAATTGCGGTTTTTATCCAACGCAATCATAGGTTTGAACGTTGTTTTCAATTTAGACTTGTTTATATTTTTTCGTTTGGGCTTGTATTATATTTGCCTTCGGGTTTATATGATCCGTTCATCCTATTTTGACTCCTCAAAATTCAAGAGTCTATCCTAAATTGAGGTAAATTGTATGGCTTTCCAAATACCGTTTCGATTCCTAACATCACTGAAGAGACATTAATTGTCGAAATCCGGATATGGTGTACAAAAACCTTTGCACCTTTTGTTTGCGGTATAACATCTTTTCCGCAAGTTTATTGTTTTCTGTTTAGTATTAAATTTATATTTAAGATCCATTTATTACATCGGTGATCCGTTTATTTGGCAATCGCCAATGGCAGTCAGCAGGGTTTAAGAACATTTGTTGTTCGACCTGTTAGTCAAATGCGTTTTGTTAAAATATACTTTTTCACTCTTTTGGTCTTTTGGAAAATGTTGTTTGTGCTGTATTTAGACCCCTCTAACAAGAAATTTGTTTTGCATGCACACGTATAAAAATTGCGGTTTTTATCCAACGCAATCATAGGTTTGTTTTCAATTTAGACTTGTATATATATATATATAACACGAATAAAGATTTTTATAATATTATTTTTATTAACTGACTTAACCTACAAAACAGAAAATGTATAAATTAAGACAAACAGTTGACAAGTGTACTATTCATTGTGCCTTTAAATAAGTTTACCTTTATGAATTTACTAGTACATTTGTACTAGAGACTAAGACTGATCAATGGATTTTAGTTTTTCTTTTAAAAAAACCATTGTTTGCAATTGAAACTAAATTTCTTGAAAAGAACAATCATTTATTTCAGACAATCAGAAGACTTCTAAGTGAAACATGTGAAGAAAAAAATAGTTTGTTGCCATTGACAAGTAGAAAAATAATATACAAAAATGTAAATACAAAATTCAAGACACTGAATTTAACAAAAAAAAAAACTTTTTTGAAAGAAACCTTGATATCAATAAAATGAAAGAAAGAGTCCTGAGGAAAAAAAACTCATGCTCCAAAAAAAAAGAAGAATGTTAAGTACCTTAATCACACATCAAATTTTCAAGGCTTTTTCACTTGTATGTGTACTTAAGCAAGCCTTTTAATATTTATTATGAGTAAAACCTTCACTACACACATCACATTTACGGTTTTTCACCAGTATGTGTTCTCTCATGAAGATTTAGGTAATATTTCCGAGTAAACGCTCGATTACATACATTACACTTATAAAGGTTCTCGTCTGTATGTATTCTCATATGAACTTGTAGGTTGTGATTTAGAGCAAACCTTTTACCACACACATCACATGTATAAGGTTTTTCCCCTGTATGAGTTCTTACATGAACCTGTAGGTCATGTTTCCGAGTGAACATTTGACTGCATACATCACAGTTGAACCGTTTTTCCCCAGTATGAGTTCTCAAATGAACTAGCAAGTTACTTTTCCTTGTAAAGAATTTGTTGCAGACAAAACATTGATATGGTTTTTCCCCAGTATGTATTCTAATATGATCTTGTAACTGTTCATTTCGATTGTAATCTTTACCGCAAATAGTACATTTGTATGGTTTTTCACCCGTATGTGTCCTGACATGAATCTTTGGTAATATTTCCTGGCGACCACACGACTACATATATCGCATTTATATGGTTTTTTAACATTATGCTTTTTCATATGATCCAGTAAAAGTTGACTGTGTACAAACTCTTCTCCACATTCATCACATTTACATGGTGTTTCTCCAGAATGAATATTCATGTGGGCCTTTAAATATTTTTTTTGGGTAAATCCTTTATCACATACACTGCATGTGTAAGGTTTTTCACCAATGTGTGTTGACATGTGTCTCTTTAGATTAAAACACGTACTAAAGTTTTTATCACATAAACCACAATTAAAACTGTTATTAAATATTTGTTTGTCCGTTTGTGTACCATTTTGTGTTTGAAGTTGTGTATTTTCATTTACTACAGTTCCAATGGCCTCAAGTATTGCTTTTTCCATTTCTGTGTCTTCCATGCTGGGAGTTTCTTTAAAATCTGCAGATTTCATCGAAAGAAACATTTCACTCTTTGCTTTGATCATGTTTGATAATGAAGATTTGAATCCTAAAATAAACAAACTGAGCTAAAATTATTACAATTTATAGAACATTTTGAAGAAAGAGCTCTGAGGATTTATATATTAGACATGTTAGAGGCTCTTAAGAGCCTGTGTGGTTAACCTAGATCTATATGCATTTTCAACATTAAAGACTAGAATATAATTCATGACTAAGATCTCTTTTTGTTGATCTAGTATAGCTGATAATTTTTTTCTGTTTTCAGTTTGTGCTCTACATTTTCATGATTGTATAAGATGTACATTGTATAAGGACAATTTCAACAATGTTGACTTATTTGTAGATCTTGTCTTGCACATCATTTTTTGCAAAAATGGATAAAAATTAATATCAATTCAAAGGGCAATAAATCCTAGAAGCACTGGACCAATGATTTCTGCCATGTTGACAAATTTTCAAATCTTGTACTGCTGATTATTTTTGATGTCTACAGTTATTCCTTTAAGGCATAATATATAAAACTACTATAGATAATATAATCAAATATTTTATCTTAATTTTCCGATCTTATCAACTTATAATCAAGCTTGAAATAATTATCTATTCCAGCAGCTCATCCCTATATATCCTCCATTTTTGTTGTACATTTAATTGTTAGGGAACAACCATTTAACTTCAAGGGGGGGGGGGGGGGGGTATGGTTTTTTGTCTAAGACAAAAAAATATTTCGCACAAAGCGCAAACATATTTAGACAGAAATTTTTTTCGCACAAAGCCCAAACATATTTTTATAGTTTTTCTTTATTTAACACTATAAGGCATGTAAGGTACCGTATGGGGGGAAAATCTGGATTCAGAATTTTTTTTTTTCATCAAATTGGGGATCAGAATATTTTTTTAGGTAAAAACCATAATCCCCCCTCCCCCCTTGAAGTTAAATGGTCGTTCCCTTAGGGATTCATTATATATACTTATGTTAATATCTTTTCTTACTATTGTATTTTTGTGTTGTTTTTGTTTAGTTTTTTATGCTATATGTAGATATTTACCGAACCATATATATGTTACACTGTTTATGGTTAATGTCACATGTGTCTTTCTAAGGTAAATCCATCTTCGCTAGCGATCCACTCCTGGAGAGGAGGGAAGTGGATCGTAACCCTTGGCTAGCGAAGATGAGGTAAATCAGACATGATTTAAAAACCATGGTATTATATAACAATGGAATAATTGGAATTCGTAAGTGTATATCTGAAGTGTTTTATTATATGATTAGTTCCACAGAGTGCAAGTGACCTCATACTAATATGATATCTACCGCTATCTGGGGTAAGTAAGTTCCATATGAGGCAGGAGTTGGAGTGAGTGAAGCTCCAGCCTCGCACAGAACTTACTGACCCCATAATATCCTATTAGTTCACTAGCTCACATGTACAATGTAACAAATTTATCTTACCAACTATCTAAATATGGGAATTTAATATCAGATGTAGTTTTAAAACAATATAAAACAAATATTTTTCAGTTGTTGTTATAGTGATCAATATGAGTCATTAAAGCAATTTTTGGTGTCTGGTGGAACATTACAGAGATCAAGTCTTCAATAATAAGAACCCTCTTGCACTGGTGTAGGACAAACACAAATGCCAACAATAACAATTTAATTTCAAAGAACCTTAAATCACAATTTCAACACAATATTAAACAAAAATGTTAAGCATTTACAACACATGTACAGTGAGAAAGTCATTGTCACTAACATTGTCTAAGACATGTTTATGTCTAAAAGTTTGAAAAATTAATGTATGTTTATAATCATGATAATGTATACATTTGTCATGTTTGTATACATATTTGAGATCAATTAACATTTTTTTTTAAAGGAACTATACCATGTATACCACTAAGTTAAACTATTACTAACAGTGTATTTAAAATAAACCATGCCCACTGACCGTGTATTTAAAATATGACATGACCACAGACAGTGCATCAAATATACATTGTTTCCATGTGTTTGCTTTTAACCAATGATCAATGATATTCCTAGAAGTTTATTGGAGGAAAAAATAATTACATACATCGTTTGTTGATGTGGTCCATAAGTGTTTCTCGTTTCTCGTTTTTTATTTAGATTAGACCGTTGGTTTTCCTGTTTGAATGGTTTTACACTAGTAATTTTTGGGGCCCTTTATAGCTTGCTGTTCGGTGTGAGCCAAGGCTCCGTGTTGACGACCGTACTTTGACCTATAATGGTTTACTTTTATAAATTTTGACTTGGATATATAGAGAGTTGTCTCATTGTCACTCATAACCGCATCTTCTTATATCTATATATATTCAGTCGGTATTGATGCTTTGTCAAATTTGACCTTATGCACTCGTCAGGTATTATGTGTGTACCATATTTAACATGATAAATTTTTATGTCCTATAATAATTAGCCCACATGCCAAATATAATCATGATAACATAATAAAAAAAAAGCAGCATGTATGTCAATGTCAAAAGATATCAACTTGAAAATCCTAACCAAGAGCTGGGACATAATAGTCCCAGCCAGAGACACATACATTGTAATACAATTATTATATGTCTCTGTCCCAGCCAAGAGTGAGTCTTGAAGACAAAAAAAATGTAAAATTAAATCAACAGTTCAATCTGAACTTGAAATCAAATACTTTGTGAGACTTGCTTTTCACAATTTACTTCTATTAAATTTCAGCAGCATTTTTTTAACATTTAACAGCTTCTGTATATATACATGATATATAAACCCAATCAAACTAGAAACAGTTATCTCCCTTCGCATTACTTTTATAATGAAAATTCTCTACTGATTATCATAAAAATTTGGAAATGCAATGATCATGATATGAACATTGAAGGCATATAAATTATACCAAAATAGGAAGTAGCTTACAGTTGAATAAAATGATGCTATAACTTAACCTTTTTACTATATAAATGTTCCCCAAAATACGTAACATGATAAACAACTTTATAATAGGTGAACATTTTGGAAACAGAAATATTCAACTATTTCCTAAGTGACAACTAGAGTATTTCGAGGTCTAATTCATTATAACTAAAACTATAAACAAATGAAATAAATGTTGCTAAAATCAGTAATTAACCTTATAGTGTCACGGTCAGGCTGCATTTCCAGTATTTTTCCATCTAAACAGTCGATATGGACTTGTACAGGGCGCTGACATCTTGGCCGTGTTTGATTATTTCTTCTGCAATCCGGAGTACTCCGAACTTTAAAATATTTCTTGTCCTTAAATAGAACAGAAAACTTTATTTTGTTGCGGCAGAGCATAAAACATACAAACATAAGCTCTGGTGAGCTTTTTACCGAATATAAAAATGGACAAAAACAAATAATTTAGTATCGTTATTATTGCCAGAAATTAGGTGCTTGAGGACAGGATCCTGTTTTGAGCTCCCCATAGTCCCTCCCCCTTATTATCATAAATCCTCGATTTTTAATATATTTCACTTATTTGTACCATATATATATACCGACCGTGCGAGCAGTGGCGTAGCTTGCATGTATGCTCAGATGCTCAAGCATCAACATCATTTTGACAAAAAAATAAAAAATAGATATTATGTGTTCGTGTAACAGTGGTTTGATTCCGCCAGTGTACTTTATCCGGAGGAAAAAAATCCCCAGTGATTTTTATCCACCAACAAAAATTCACTAGTTTTTTCTATCCGGGTCCAGTGTAAAACATCCACCAGTCATTATAAGGTTCTAAAAAGGGTTTTTTGAAGGGGAAATATATATAAAATGTGGCTTAATAGTTTTTAGTGTATTTGAAACTTGCATAGCTGATTTATATAAAAAGTGGAGAGTTTTCATCCAAGGAATGTTCACACTAGTGTTTTTGAACCAGGAATGATTACACAAGTGATTTTGTACCGGAATGATTGCACTAGTTATTTTATACCGGGATTAATTACACTAGTGCTTTAGATCCATACATTGATGAGGTGATTTATAGTACTCATTTTGAACACACGATAACACAATAATGCTTATTAACGAATAAGATTTAAATAATTTTTCTATGCAAATCTATAAAATCACATGCTTTTAAATTGTCACTAATTGTAATATTTATATTTATTGGATTGCCGAAGTTTTTCTGTGTATTTGCTCTTCGGTCGACTTGCATATCTTCTTTGTCAATATCAAAGGATGCTTCTATAATTAAAAGGTATTTTGAGTTAAAAAAAATATCCTCCTCGTCATCATCAATATTATTTACTAGATTGACTGAGATTAATTAAACTGGTTCCTTGAAAATTATTTTAATTTTAACCCATTTATTTATGTGTAAACAATAAATCGGTCTAATATAAACAAAACAACAATATCAAGATCGACGCTTTCACACTATTTACATCCAATATTCTCTAGTGAAAAACAGTTATCCGGAATGAATACACGGCGGAATGAAAGTACGCTTACATTCGCAGCAGTTAAACTCGGAGGTATCCAAATGTAACAAAGGTGAGGATATGAGGATAACGTCCAATAATGCGTGGTCTTTCATTAAAATAATTTAGTTTATGTAAACAAGATGGATAAATCGCAGAAAAGTGTTCTCGACTTTTTTCGTAAAAAGTCTACGTTGTCGGCTACGGCAAGCGCAGAGGATGGTGATACGCAGACCCGCGGACATCGTTTCATCTGAAATTGAGTTTAGCGGAGCGATTGCTTCTGCATCTGACTAGCAACGTTACTAACAACTAAACCACCATATCCTGATATCGTTTCCTGTGACATGAAAGACGACATGTTAAAAATCAATTTTCGATAAATGGAAAACAATCTATAGCAATGTATAGAGTGTGATCATTCCTAGGCTTATAAATTCCCGTTTCTATCTAGGTACAAATATTAATTTTATTTTCAATAAAAGGACAAAGATCCAATGTCCCCCGCATTGCACATATTTTATCTATCCAAGGAACAACATCTTCGCTAGCCAAGTGTTACGATCCATTCCCCTCAGCTCCTCTCCAGGAGGAGAGTGGTTCATAACCCTTGGCTAAGCAAGGGCAATAACTAAAAAAAAAAACCCACTTTTTTCCTTTTAATTTTATTTTTAATATCGTAAGAGAAATAAAAGCTTCAGAGCAAATGCAATGGGATTTCCATTATAATCTATATTTCAAAGGGTCATAACTGGTTAAAAATATTTGATTAGGATGTTTTTCGAAAGTGTCAAAGACATTGCTGATGATATAAGTTTCATAAAAATTAATCTGGCAAGAATTGTACACATGAGAGTGCTAACAAGACCGGACTGACGGACGCCCGGTATTTCCATATCCCCTGCAACGCGTTAAGCCAAGTATCAAAAATCAATAAAATGCCCCGCAAAGCGCGGCCTGATACGACCGCAGAGGTCGAACCCTGAACAGTTGGTGCAAGTTTGGACAAAATATTCAAGCTTATTGAATTTAGATTGTGATCAAATTTTTGACATAATGTAGGTTTCTGACACAAAATAAATGCGGTGAAAGATCTTAAAAATTTGAAATGGGTTAAAATATTTGTATTAATTTCAATTGAAGATTTCTTGCTATTGCGCAATATTGTGATATTGAGCAATACTGTGCTATTGGACAATACTGTGATATTGCGCAATACTGCGCAAAAGAAGATTTTTTTGCTATTGCATGCGCAATACTGTGTAATTGGATATTTCTTGCTATTGCACTTAACTGTGTAATTGAAGATTTCTTGCTATTGCGCAATATTGTGCTATAGACTATTTTCATATTACCGACTTTTGACTCCGGATTATATAATTTGTCGACTGGTTACCTTGGACATCATGGTACCAAGTCAGGTAAGAGGAAGCTAAAGAAGTAAAACCAAGCGTTCAATCGGTACAATTTTGGGGGAAAATTACCTGCTTAACATTTTTTTTCACTACAAAATCATCGGAAAACAATAAACTTTCCCCTCAAATTACACCGATTATATGTTTGATTTTACTTATTTTGGTTGCTCTTACTTGACCGAGTACCATGATGTCCAAGGTAACCAGTCGACAAATTATATAATCCGGAGTCAAAAGTCGGTAATATGAAAATAGTCTATTGTGCAATACTGTGCAATTGAATATTTCTTGCTATTGCGCAATACTGTGCAATTAAAGATTTTTTAGTGGGTATTTTGAAATTAAAACAAAAATCTAACCAGTGTCGGATTCTGGGGGAGTGCATGTGCTTACAGGAAAAAAGTCTGAAAAAATATAATTTTCTGCAAAAGATGGTCCAAAATTTTTTTGCATCCACATCATTTTTACCCTGGCTACGCCACTGGCGAGGGCTGTATAGCCAGTCAAGGTCGTTAAAAACTTCCATCATCATATGTATACCAATATACCAAATTTTTACTCTAAATATACATGTTTGCTATGAACGTGCCACTCGACTATATAGCGCTATATAGTCGAGTGGCACGTCGATAGTAAACATGTATATTTAGAGTAAAAATATGGTATATTGGTATACATATGGTACAAATAAGTGATATATATTGAAAAATCGAGGATTTATGATAACAAGGGGAGGGATTATGGGGGGCTCTAACAGGATCCTGTCCTGAAGCACCTATGATTGGCAGTCGTCCGTTTTCCAATTTTATTTAAAAGTTTAAAAGTAATAATTTTGATATGCGGTCAGTGTCCATGAAATTTTGATGATCGAGATTTGTAAGAGTTAGTTCAGTCCTGTGAATTTTTCAGAATAGATCATGTATAGCCGACAGAAGTGTCCTAGTTGTAAAATACTTATTATTCTCATGAGATACACAGTTGGGCAGTACAATAGATATTCGGCATACTATTACTAATTCAAAGAAATCACGCAGTTCAGATATAGGTCATTTTCAAAAAAAATTCAGTCAGTGGCGGATTTACCGGGGGGGGGGGGGGGGGGGGTACAGGAGGCACGTGCTCCCCCAGTCCAGGTCACCAACAAATTTTCCAACCGGGTGATAATTTTATTGCTATTGAATCTGCTTATCTGGAGCGGAAATTAATCACAGCTTGATTTGACTTCCCAAACCGGCCGTTTATCAACCCTAGCTTCAACATGTGTGATTTATGACAACTTATCGGTGGGTGTGTAAATATTGACACCTATGTGTAATGTCTCTTTGCAAAAGCTTTTATGCAAACTACATGTATATATGTTGATTGGAATAGTACAAATATTTTTTATTGGTTTTTGATACAATATTACAGATTAAGATCGATTAACAGGTGAAATCTTCTGATCAGGAAAGAAATTACAAACTAAAATCTGTTTTTTAAAGAAATAGGTACAAACAAATATTTTGAAGGTATCACGAATTTTGGTATCGATATATGGGATATGTCTTCATAACAAAATACTCACATTACCATTTCTTGTGAATTTTTTTTTGTTTTTCGAAATTGTCTTTTTTGTGACTTTATTCAACAACAAACTATTCGGTTTTTAATATATCATACAAGATTATATTTTTTTAAAACTGAATGTCGTATTTCTTTTCCCTCTTATTTTCAAAAGAACCAACAATTTGTTTAAAAAAAAGATATAAACGATGTACTGACCCCCAACCATGCACACTCGCATATATACATGTCTCATGTCTAAAAAAATATTTAATTTGGTTTCATGGTGCCCCCCTCCCCAGACATCGAGGTTCTGGATCCGCCCCTGTCAGTGCACCTATGCTAAACTTTTTATTTTTCATGGAAATGCAGATGAAGTGTTTAAATGAAAGTTTCGAGGATTTATGACTCGGAACATCAATAATAAACACGATTTAGATATATTTTTATATGATTAAAATATATTAAAATCCGATTTTTGCATAATTTATGTGCGTACAGTGTCAGCTAGGGTAACACATTTCAAATGATTTTTTTCCTATTTTCTGATTGCCTTGATATCTGTAGAAGGAACTATTTTATTATGTAAATGATAACCGTCTAGCAAAAAATCACAGCTTCTTTATTATTCTATGTAACAGTTTTTTCTACAAACTAATTTCAATCGCGCGTACATGAAAATCATGTCAGTCCTGTTACCGATACTAGACCAATCGTTAAATTGTTTCTCTCTATGAATATGGAACTATGCAGTGATTTCATAAGTACAAAGCATCCTAAAAATTTATCACAGCACGTTTCTTGCATAACAGCGCAGAGAAAAGAAAATTCAACACATTCAGTGAAAAACAATTAGTGGGTACCCTTTTATCATGTCGATGCTGTTG